CAAATAACATAATATAATAGCATTTAATAATAGTAAAAACGAAGAGTTTTGTAGAAGTGATTTAAGAAGTGATGAATTTGTAATAATTATTACAAAAACTTTAATTCAAATTAGAAAGAGCACAGGTATGAAGCACTGGTATGAAGCCCAGGTATGATTACATAGAAGTGAATTGAAAAGACATTTTGCACGTTAGGTATCACTTAATTTTTAGGTCATGGCTGAGGACATTCACTTCACATTTCTTTAATTGTTTTCTTTATAATTTGAATTAAAGTTTTTGTAATAATTATTACAAATTCATCACTTCTTAAATCACTTCTACAAAACTCTTCGTTTTTACTATTATTAAATGCTATTATATTATGTTATTTGTGAGATTAATGGCCAAAATTATAGCTATTATTCGCTTTAAATTCGCATTTAATATCTAATTTTTCTTTTATAATGTATGTTATATTGAAGTTTTAATATTTTTTTATTTTAGGATTTATTTACAATTAATTTATATAAATGTTTTATTTAAGATAATTGTAAACCTCTTATTTACGGTAAATATATATTTGAGAAACGGTATCTTGTTACCAAAAACAGGATTTAAATACACATATTTATTAAGGGCTTTTAATTTTAAAGTTTTAAATAACTTTTTAAAAGTGTTTATAAAAATTATTCACTCGTTTCCATTACATTATGGATATAAAGCAATTAAACATAATAATAATCTTTTGTTCAAAATTCAAAAGTGTTTATAATAGGATAATAAAATATTTATAGTATTTCTAGTAATGAGAAAAATTATAAACATTATGATTTTGAAACAATAAAATAATTTATTCAATATTATTAGTCATATTCTGGTTGCAAACGCTTTGTGAAAATTAAATCTATTTTTTCAACTAATTTTTGTCGAAATAGATTTATTTTTGATTTCAATCGTTGAAAATGATAAATGAATTGAACATTTAATTTTATTTTTACACATTTTTATAAAACCAAATTTCAAGGCTTAAATGTTCTAGCATTTATACTATTAAGCTATTCTTACTATTAATTTTATGTGTTTACTTATAAATTGATTGTAAATTTCATAAATAATCTCATAATCTATGATTAATTTATTTAAAATTGCAAATAAAACTTCCGAGGAATTATTTATAATAAAAAACTAATTAAATTATTAAAACATGAATTCCTATTAATGCTCATTAATAATATCAGCTTGGATCTAATTCAGTACAAAGTGTTTTTATATATACATTCACACACATAAACAAGAAAAGTGTAGAAACGCGTTGAATATTATTATTATGATTATAATTATTATGTAAAAGATATTCACAAAACTATTTTACATAACAAGAAAAGGCTACGAGAAATGAAACGAATGGCCTCTAAGTTGTCAATGAAAATCGTGCTCAAAATGATTGTTTTAAAATGAATGCAAATGAATGTTATATTAATATACATGCATACGAAAGTATTGACAAATAAAACTAAAACATAACTGAGAAAAACATTAGTTACAGGTATTTGAAAGCAAAATGTTGTGAATAACTGTAAGCAATGATGAGATTTGAGTAGTTGAGATAAAATCTATTTGTTTGCACATAAGATCTATCGAGAAAATGGGCTAATCTTTGTTATTAACAACTTTGCCAACAGTTTTCATCATCACTTCAATCAGTCATAAAATTCATAATTTGAATTTTTATTGAAAAATCCAAATTTACACATTACTTCATTTATTAGACAATTAACGAATTGTACTTGTTGTTTGTGTTTCTTTTTGACTCTCAATTGTTAGCCAATAAATCGCTAATTAATAAATGAATTATTTATGCCATTGTACGCCTACTCGCAGTCGTTGAATGAATTTTGTGTAATTCATGAGCGAATGTGTGCACAAAAAAATCAAATTCTCTATAATACTCTGAAATGGCACTCTTAATAGTATTGATATATCAATAAATTATATGAGTATCGCGTTTAACGCTAAGAACAAAAAGGCACATCTTTTCTGAAATAAGTTGTGTCTGAAGTCCTTTAATTTTTCAGGTTTTGTTTGTATTGAAGTGACGGCACTGAACCTCAAGGACATGGAGGAGAAAGAGAAGATAATCTTCATTATAAAAGTGGTAACCAATAAGAATTGTAAACTTTATGCACTATTCCGTACGACAGAGAATATTATATGTATTTGAGATAAACAGTTGTGTGTATTATATAGTGGAAGTCGGTTTTGAGAGGGAATCAACTCATCGTTATAAATAAATTCATTTGAATTTTATAGCGATTTATTGATGGAAAACACTTTTTTATAATTAGATATTTGTTTAATCACTTCGCCATCAGTTACTCGATGTTTCCAATTGTGGAAACACTTTAAAAACAGTATATATGTCTGAGACATAACTGTTCGCAAGAGTTGTCATCTTTTAAACACTGCCCCAACAGCTCATTCATAATAATTATTTTTCAATTAAATTCTTTGGCACAGAATTTATAGTATTATTTCTCACTTATAAGCTATGATTTGCACTAAAGAATGGTTGCGGCGATCGATTGGAAATTATTTACTTTTGTTTCTCTGTCTTGTATTGTATTCACGACAAGAAGCCGGAGCTGATGATCAACAAAGCCATGACAGCTCAAGAACTTCAGGTATTAGTGGTTTTCGTTCAATAGGTATCATATCATAAGATATTATATTATTTTTTTCTATTTTTATATGTATTAATATTTATAAAGCTTTCTAAATTGAATTGAAATTGATTTTTAATTTGACGGTAGTAATGGCTTTATATCAAATAAACAAGTTTTGCAACAAAATAAAATACTCATTTTTGTGATAAATATATTATTTGACTTTAAACCTCATAATTCATTGTCAATGTAACTTGTAAATTCCTGTATTTATAAATTATATTAAAAATGTTATTTTTATGCATCATTTAAAGCACTTTTTGCATTGAAAATTATATTAATTAAATCACATTTAATTAGTGTGAGATAAGTTTTTGAAACGTAAAAAATGTATAAAATTCAATTAACTCTTAATCTCAATATAATTACATAAGATTTTGTTGATTAGTTTCCTAATCTACTCACTTAGAAAGCAATATAATCCTAAGCAAAAGTTATTTAAATTGATTTAAAAACCAGTTTTATTACAAATTAGTTTTGGTTATTTTTAAATATATTTTTGCTAATTTCAATACTTTGAAAAAAAACTGAAATTGATATGAAATACTCAAACATTTGAGACAAAGAAATGTTGCGAAACCTATTAACCTAAAATTAAAAGTATTTCTAGTTTTTAAATGCTTCTCTCTCTCTCTCTCGTGTTCTCATAATTAATTCACTCTTCATTTTCTCGACTCATTGAGAAGATTGAAGACTTAGTTTGATAATTGAATTGTGAGACAACTCTTAACTCTTCGTATTAGTTATGTATAATTGAAGAGTAATTTGCTTTCAGTTTCGAAAGGAGTGTCGCGTATAATAAGTATTTGAGAGAAAAGATTATTTCTAATTTCATATTTTGTTTGACTATTCAAAAGCGATAATAGTATTCGTGACACAAAATGTTAATTTCTCTGTTAAGCAAAAAAGAGAAAAGTATTTTAAAATCTAAGCTATAAGTCGTCTCATGAATGGCATGAAATATATTCTTGAGTCCGATTTGATATATAAAAAGCAAGAAAAAGATTAGAAAAACTAATTTTCAAAAGAGATGTTCGCTTTGCGAGAAAAATCCATTGGATATTCCGTTGAGTAATGCAAATGCATAGTAAGAAATACATAGATTTGTGTGTAAAATACAAGCATTTCTTCCCAATTCAAGGCCTTATAGTCTTCGTATAGATTTCATGAAACATTACTGTCAATGAAAATGTTTTTATTGTATTGTTTTTCGAGAAGATTTTGTTTCCAAAGAAAATCGTTTTATTTTGTGATAACTTCTAATCCATTATTTCAAAGTTAAAGTCGAAAGGCTATCATTCATACAGAAATTGACAGATAATAACAATCAATTCAATGGATTAGATATTATCTCGTGTGGCATATGTAGTTAAATCGGGAAAATCTTTTTTGATTTATATCTTGATACTTGAGTTTGATATTTAAATTGCTTTTATTGTTTCGGAAAAGTCTTCTGATTTAGTCTTTATAAGTGTAGTTAATTTAATATTCAAGCAACAAATAAGTCAATACTGTATTTTAAATGTGCTTTTAGTCTTGACATTGCTGTCTTACATATAAATTTATGATTTATTAATATGTGTGATGAATATGTCGACAAAACTCGTGTTATTTATGAGTCTGAAACTATAATTTTTAAAAAGTTGTAAATAAAAATAACATTTCTCAAATGCTGAATCAAATTTCCAACAAAATGATGATTACGTTTTTGGGAATTTTAATTAAATTTAAATTTAATTTGGAAAATTTTTATCTAATTTTGTCATCAAATGTATATATAAACAGAAAATATACGCTAAATATATGCACAGAGTGAAGGAAAATTGTAGACTTATATTATATCGCAGTAAAAAGCCATTAATTTTAGAAATTAAATACATTTTAGTAAATATCTTATATACAGTAAATAAAAGTAAATAATATTAAGCAAAAAATTAAAACTTAATTTTTAAAGAAAAATAATTTTACGATTGATTCTGTAATTTGTTTGTTGAAAGAGAAATAAAAATTTTTAGTCAATTATAATACAGTATAAAAAAGAGGGGTTTTTAGTAATGTTTTAAAACCTCATTTCTAATTGTTATCTATGTATAGATCAGTGCCAATAAGTAACTGAACATAAATATAGGGCTCCATTAATATCAAATCAATCTTTTTTTCAATTTGTGAACAATATTGTATTGAATTTCATTATTTTCATAATATATTTTGAAATAAATTTTTAGAAATCTCTCTCTCTCTCTCTCTCTCTCACGCGTATCTCAAGGTTTTAATCGTTAAATTAATATATCACAAGAAAGACTGAAATTTTAAAATTTAATTTTTAGAAACTTCTTGTGAAGTAACTTATAATTTATAATATATACAAACAAACCATTATTCTTATGTCAATATAAATAATTCACATTTTAGTCCTCTTTATCTCAATATCTGATTGTAAAATGTGAAATTCAATTACATGTCAACCAACATAGTAGTGAAATACCGTGTATTTCTGTTTATAAGTCAAAATAATTCATATAATTTGTCATAAAATAAAAATTATACGTTTATCGCGCAAAACCATCTCAATGTTCATCACAACAAGAAAAATGTTTTTTTATTGAAATTAACTCTCATTTTGATGGCCATCGCATCAAATGCATCACAAAAAAGAGATGACAACAAAAGCAAACCATAAATAGTTTTTTGATTTTATTTGATTTATAGGAATAATAGAAATATTCTTCAATTGAGTTGTTTTTGACGATTCGTTTGTTTAATAAGTTTTTTGTTGCATTTATACCCAAAAATAGTCAGAAGAGCTGAATCGCAACTCAGATCTGGTTATAATGGATCGGATAGTGGAAGGACGAGACACCAGCAACAAAGGGACAGACAGTTGGAGAACATCTATAAAACCCTTTACGATAGAGGATTGTTTAAAATGTGTTCACTCATGCGGACGGCCGACCAACAAGAACTCAATCAATTGCTTGGTATTCATGTTATACTCATATTTTTTTTGTCAATATATTATATACACTGATAATTGTGGGAATTTTCTAAATTAACTGTTTTATTACCAATATATTAAGCAATAGTTTTATTTTTATTTTTTCGTGTAATTATCGCTTTTGCAAACCTTTCAATACCCGATTCAATAAGTAGTAATTTATGATGAATTTTTCTAAAACAATATTTATATATATATTTGCATTCATTTAACGACACGACTCACGACTTGATGCATAGAAATTTTAATAAACAAACACAAGATAAGCAACAAACTATGAAAGCTATACAAAACTAAAATATCATATTTTTTAAATATTTTAATTAATCCAAAAGTCACGGCTTTTTATAATTAGTGGTTTTGAGACTTTTGTCTGCAAAGTATTTAATTGAAATCTTCCGCATATTTAAGTGAAAACAATAGAATATATAAATATTTGATTACTTCACACAATGAGAATATAAATACTATATGAATAAAGTCATAAATAACCTAGGAGCATTGATGAATAAAACACTTTTTGTCAAACAATAGGCCCGAACTTCACAATCCTGGCGCCCAGTGACGAGGCGTTTGGTTTGATACCCGGCTCACAGATCGAGGAACTCAAGAATAAGCAAAAACAGAAGGAATTCATAGCCCAACACATCATTCCCAGTCGTCTGTCATTAAGTAGTTTTCGGGCTTTCGATGAAAGGGAACTCAAAAATGCCAACGGATTGACACACCATATCACAGCCTATCCTAATGGGGTCAGTCATACAGCTCCTCATCTCAATAATCATATGTAACTTATAATACCTTTTAATTCGTATGTTATTTGCTAATTAATTATTTGAAAAGCAATCTCTCGTTTGCTTTTTTACTGAAGGCATATAAAGTATATCTTATGTTTCTTTTGTTTTTTCGGGATTTGATTTAATTACTCACGTTTTAATGATATTTTATTGAGCGTATTATAAGACATAACTGTTTTTGTATGCAAAACCTTGTCCTTATAATAAGCACTTCAATAATGTTAACTTTTTTCGTAGAGTGTAATCGACTCGCAATTCTTGATATAAATATTTATTTGAAGTGCACTCAATGTTAACTAACTTTTCGATTATTTGTTTTACTTTTTAATATTAGGCTTATTATTCAAATTTTTATGTATTCATTTTGATTGATTGGCAAATAATAGTTGCATCTTAATTTGTATGCATACGAAACAAAGCAAATTCCTTGAAATCAGATTATTTAGTCCTTTTTGAATGTAAATTAGAAATCAATAGATTTTTGTGCAAACACTGTGAATCACAATTAAATTATAAATACGCTCAATTATTTATGCAAACACAATAAATATCCATATTTGGTATATTTTTGTTCCCAAAAATTAAGTTTATGAATTCATTTTTTAAAGTAAAAAGTTATTCATGATCAAAAATAATAACATATTTTGAAGTTCAAACTTAAATACAATATACTTGATTTTATATTTTATTAACGTTAGTCAATATCATTAAAGAGATAATTCATTTAAAATCTGTTACAATATAAATAATTCATTAGTTATTTATTAACTATAATTAAGTTTTTGTGAAACATTGTATATTAATTTTTGATTAAATTTTAAACAAATGGATAGTTTGTAATAAACGGAGCCAATGTAATAGACGGCGATATACAATTACCAAGATCAAATAACTTGATTCAAGTGGTCGACAAAGTATTATATCCACAGAAAGACTATAATTTATTGCAAGTGTTGGAAGAAAATCCTCATTTGACACAAATCTCATCGTTTTTAGCACTTTCAGGACTTCAGAAAGAGTTGACAAGTATTTCTTATCAAACTCTTAATGTATTGATTCAATAATTAAAATAATGTCTTTATTAATTGATTGATAGCCAACGACTCATTCACTTTCTTTGCACCCAATGATGAGGCTTTCCGAGCAGTTCCCTGGCCAGTCACCCAACAGATGCTATCTAACAATACTTTCTTGAGATGTATGCCTTTATATCCAATTGAAAGCATTCAATATCTTTGTCTGGTTTCTTAGTACTAATCGCCAATCATATGATCCCTGGTAAACAATACGCCACGGGTTTGGCCGGCAGTAAAGTCCACTCCATCGGTGGCAATGTCTTGAATTTCACGAGTAGGACCGGTATGTCGTATTAGACGTGAAAGTAATTTGAGTATAATTTTCAAAACTTATATTTTTTTTTTGCTTTTCAGTTCAATCACATACATTAGTTTTAGTCAATTTAGTGCCCATTCTTGACTCGGATCTGATTGCAAATAATGGTGTGATTCATGTGATCACGAGAATTATTCTTCCAAAGGAATTGATGGATGACTGCCAGTGTCTGTCCAACAGTACGACTAAGAAAGCGGATAATAGTACCACCGCTGGGAACGACACCTCAACATTGGATCCATTAATAGAGAAGATGTTATCATCGGATCAGAACCTGAATAATATCGACCGTCGCTACGGATTAGCTCCGCCAAGAAATACACACCAAAACGGGGATCACTTCACATCTACTCCCAAACCCGTCTCATTCAAGTCCTTCTGGGACGACATCTTTGCCACGACTGACGACACACTGAATGCCACTCAATCGGCGTCCACCACACCTGCAAATGGGACCCAAACCACACCAAACACTAGGAATACGACAACACCGGCGCAGACAAACGTCACTGAATTGCCATTTATATGGGATTTCCTGACCACAGAAACGCCTCAAGCCATCAATGAATCGACGAATGGCAACACATCCAGAGTGGCGTCAATGAGTCGTTTAAGACATTTCACGGCTGGAGTACAATATGACGACGACTTGAATACGACGACAACAGCCAACGGAACCACCGCTTCGGACACGGCGTCCACCGGACAGCCCAACCAATGGACGCGACCTTTCTATAGACCTGAGCGCAGGAGAAACACCACCGAAACTACGGCTCAAAATACTACAAACCAAGTGGAAACGACAACCCCTCTTAGTATTGGGAACTCATTTTTTAGGCCAACTCTGAAGCCTGTCTTTAGGCCCACCAATAGAAGGGAAACATTTACGGGACAACCGAATACTGAGAATACTGTTCCGCCATATGATAGACGATACGGCATTCAAAGGGATCAAAAGCCCGCGAATGGTAGCGACGATCAGTTCGCCAGAAGACAGTCGCGAGTGAACGAGAAAATACAAGAACCCATTGAACAGCTTAAAGATGATGACCAGTATATTGAGCAAGAGATTGAACCCCAATCTAAGTACAATCGCTCGCAATATCCGTATCAAAGAGATTCCAAACAAACGGGTCCTCAATATCAAGACAACGCATCGCAACCTGGCGTTAGACGACCGCATGATTTGCGACGAAATGACTCGCGATATGCGCCCGAAGAAGTGGAACAGAAGCCATATTCGCCCACTTCTTGGACTCATCAGCAAAACATATCGCATACTCCGGCGCAGACTTATCCTCGACAACCAGCCAGACAACAGCTAAATTGGTGGGACTCTCGCTACGAGCCTGAAGTGTATTCAATGGCAGGATACGCACCACCATCTCCGCAACAACAGCCCAGTCCTCAGACTAGAGATCAGGACCCGAGAAGTCCTTTCCAATCGGCGCAGACCAGAGCTGATAGGCAACGGAACTACAGGCCTGGAGTCGTATACGTCGACCAAAGTGTGCCCCAGTTTTATAGACCTCCTGTGAAGGACGGTTCGGGTCGACCTTATTATCGGCCACCAAATGATACCAAATCGGGTTCATATCCACAGTCTTCCAGAGCTGGAGCGCCAAGAGCTCAGAGACCGTCGAGTGATGTGTATTCCAGACCTGAATATATTGACAGATCATACGTTCCTTCCTATGATCCTTACGGAAGACCAACGATGGTTGTGGGCGAGTATCCATATACTCATATGGATCAGCCATACTCTCCAATGGATCAGTTCAGACCTCGAGATCCATACCAAAGACCTCAACGATTTGATCCGTTTGACAGACGTAGGCCTGGTAGCGATACAAAGACCTCGTCGTCTACTTATGATAGTATTAGGAGAAGAGGTGATCAGCGGTCCGGTAGACCAGATGAGGAGAAACCGCAATCAAAACCTGATTTGAAAACTATTAGTGAAATCATTGAATCGCCAGACCTTATGGTCGGAGGAAAATTCAAAACCTTCAATACATTAAAGGAGTTGATCACCGATTCCGGGCTCTGGGAGGCGTTGAATAGACCGACAACTTTCATAACCATATTCATGCCAACAGACGACGCGTTCGCCGCCATCACCGATGGATCGGTGGAGGAAATGAAGAGAAATCCTAAACTCGTCAATCCGGGCTCTGGGAGGCGTTGAATAGACCGACAACTTTCATAACCATATTCATGCCAACAGACGACGCGTTCGCCGCCATCACCGATGGATCGGTGGAGGAAATGAAGAGAAATCCTAAACTCGTCAGAGATTTTCTGACGCAACATATACTCGGGTATAGCCTTCCGCCGCAGAATCTCAAGAATAATATGAAAGTCAAGTCGTTGAATGGCGAGATGCATATGATTAATGTGATCGATGGTGGAAAGGTATGTTTGATCTGAAATTTAATTATTTTTATTGGTTAAGTGGTAAATGAATTGCTGTTTTAATGCCCAGATTTTAGTCGATGGCAATGAAGTGATCGCCGCGACGGCCGCCAAGAATGGCAACGTCTATGTAATGGACAAAATGCTGGACAGAAGTGGTCGCAGATCCCGATCCATCGCTGATGAGCTGAGAAAGAGATCAGATTTGAGTACATTCTCGAGTTTAATGCAAAGGAGCGATCTTAATAGCAAGCATAGGTCTCCATATTTACTGATTAATTCTCTATTAACAGATAATTTAAACTACAGTTGTGGTCTTAGCCCTGGGAAATGACATAACCATGGCTTATTACTTCGGGAGTTATTTTACTTAAATTCCCTATTGATTAGAAGTCAAAAGGATTTAAATGGTTTGCATACCTTAATAGAACTACAAAATTGACATCTCTAGACATTACACAAAGTATATACTTAAACTTTGTCTAAAACAACGTTTCGTACACTACCTACCACGCCACATATCGGTTGTTGACCGACTAAGTTCACCAAACGAGCCTGAGTATACAGATATTAAGAGAATTGGCGTGAGTTCAGGTAAACAGCAAGATAATATTGTGTACTTGACTATAATGTGATTTAATGAAAATATAAACCTTATATAACAGACACGCCCATAACTATCAATAACTCAACAAAAGTCATATCTCCCGACATAACCACCGAGAATGGTGTCATTCATGTCATTGATAGGGCGCTATCAGACAAAATTAATATAACCGACAAATCGCAGAAATTATGTAAATATTTTTATCTAAAAATTAAGTTTGTTTTCAAATGAATTATTTTATCCGTTTTTATAGCGAATGAAGAGTCGGACAGAAATGCCAAACAGTCGTCGATATCTCGTTCGGCGCAGAGCTTAGGGATCAGAAGATTCACGAATTGGCAAAGTTTGTTTTCAAATGAATTATTTTATCCGTTTTTATAGCGAATGAAGAGTCGGACAGAAATGCCAAACAGTCGTCGATATCTCGTTCGGCGCAGAGCTTAGGGATCAGAAGATTCACGAATTGGCTCAACAAGAGTGGACTACTGGATGAGCTCACGAGAGATGGTCGCGACTACACTGTCATTGTGCCCACAGATAGGGCTGTCGGCAAATTGCCCCTAAAAATACAGTCCATTCTAAACAGCGAGCCCTCTAGACTGACAAATCTCTTGGAATACCATATAATTCCCGGTTTTGTGGACACGAAAGGACTCAAAGACAATGAGATGTTGACTACAATTAATAGCAAACAGATTCGCTTCAATAGATTAGATAACGGAAGGGTTGAGACGCTGTCGGGGGCGCCCATTAACAGGCAATCGACTAATAAGAATCTATTGATCATAGCCGTGGACAGTGTCTTGTATCCACCGCAGGGAACGGTAGGGGATTTGATTAAAAAGTCACCGTTTCTTAAGACATTGAATGAGATCATCAAAAACGCACAAATGGAGGACGAGTTGAGGAACAGTTCAGACATTACTTTATTTGCGCCCAAAGACGAGGCCCTCAAACAACTCTCACCAGAAATACTCGAACGCCTGAAAACCGATCAAAACTATAGCAGAGGTTGGGATGAATTGCTTTCAAAATATAATTTATTAATTGATTTTTTTGCAACACAAAAAGTAGGTCTTAAGGATGCGTTTGTATAATATGGTTTTCACAACAAGTGCTCACGAGAAGTTCACTTATTACTCTGTTTATAGTGCGTATTCCTCGTCCGTAACTCACCGCTAAGTGACAAGATATTTAGGAAACCCAGTCAGTAGTCGCTATAATAAATGATTTAATTAATTAATGTTTATTTAATAACTAATTGTTTGCAAAATTATTCTCTCGTTTTTGTCAGATTGTGTTTCAGTCAATGGCATTATCCTATCGTTCGCAGACATCACCGCAACCAATGGTGTTCTTCATATTATTGATCACACGATATAAATAAAATTCATGAAATAAATTGATACGATTCAATATGTTTTTGTCCTATTTTTATGAATAAAATCACGAGAAACTAACATTAAGTTTTTTTATTGTAAATTTATATGACGTTCACGACATATCTGACAGAATAACTACTATTCCTATCATTTTGTATGCAACTAAAACATAATTGCCTCGCTAATGTTGCCCTCCCCTCTCACTTATAACATTTGCAAGCTAATATTTACTATTTGTGACTAATTTTATCTTAATTTCATAGAATCAATATTATAAATGTTCATAACTTTTCTACCATTTAACACAACATTCATATTGTATTTATTGTCAATATGCAACTTTATTATAATAAAATAATTTCTAATAACTAATTTTATCTTAATTTCATAGAATCAATATTATAAATGTTCATAACTTTTCTACCATTTAACACAACATTCATATTGTATTTATTGTCAATATGCAACTTTATTATAATAAAATAATTTCTAATGTTTAACATTTCAAATCTTATTCCTATGGAAATATTTTAAATATTCCTTGATTCTTAATTGGACTTGTGTTTTATTATTGCTGTATAAATAAAATTCATATCAAACTCACCTGAAAATAGCTCATTTGCATTATGTTTACTAATACTGTCGGAAAATTCTAGTACTTTTCCGCACAATTCAAGGCTCTTAAGCAATGATTAATTGGATTAATGAAAATAAAATTCATATCAAACTCACCTGAAAATAGCTCATTTGCATTATGTTTACTAATACTGTCGGAAAATTCTAGTACTTTTCCGCACAATTCAAGGCTCTTAAGCAATGATTAATTGGATTAATGAATGATTGAAAGGATGACAGTGAATGTAAACATAGTTTTGTACACATATTCTTGAGTATATATTTCGCATTCATTGCGAAAGCACTCATTTCCTCACTCGTACTCAAATCAAAACTCATTTATTTCAACTAATTGATGATGATGGTTTTAATTGCAATGCGCATAGCTATGCTATTTTGTACTGACCCCATGTAAGTACCCGCTACCATATTCCAGAAGTCATAAATATAAACACAGCACCGGTATGAGAACCTTAGTCATGCATTGCAACAGCATTTCATCATACAATGGCAATACCTTATTCACCAAATTTGGACAAAAGCTATATATAGTGCAAGAATTATAGGAATTTTTTTCAGTCATTCAAAGCATTTCAAAGCTTCACAACGTTTTGATACGAAGAGTGAGTTTATGTTTTTGAAGCGCTTCTTGTGATTTGTTTTAATTATGTTAAACTCTGGCACTAATACAAAGGCAACTTAAAGGACTTGGATTTAAAAGGATTTTTGCAATTTGTTTAAAGGATTGAACAGACATGTAAGAATATTCTGTATATATTGTATGCTTTATTTGTTTATACTTATTAGCATTAATTTTATTTTTGATGCAAATCAATATAATTTTATTGCTACTTATTTATCCCATATACTAGTTAATAGTTTTTGGCGCTAGCTAATAACTTTAGCATAAGTTTGATTTATTAAATTGAAATATACTTTTGCAGAATTTTTTTATAAGAAGTTGTGATAAAAATCTTTTAGTATAAAACAGAACTAATAGATGCCAGGAGAGGGACTGGGAGGGAATGGCACTTAAAATTGTAAATAAATATTTTATATACGATAACGACATGCGATTATTAATATAGCATAAAAGTAGGTTACGTAAAAACGTGTAGAATTTGTGCAAAAAAAAGTGCTAAACATATACCATAAAATTGTGAGGTTATAAAAATTTAACCTGTTAATATTAATTAAATTTTAATCCAGGAAATTAAGTGTCCAAATACAGCTAATATTATGTAAATTCCAGTATTACAGTAATATATTTGATTCAACTGACTATAAGGTATACGAATATTTAGCATTGAATTCTATGTGTTGTTGAAAAAAGCATTGATTGCATAGAGAGTCTCAAAATTGATGCAATCCTACCAATCATAGCGTATAAACATTTATGTGTTTTATAATAATAAAGTCTATTATAATATTTTGATCTATCATTTAGAGTAGAGTTACAGAAATGCGTTGAAGATATTCATTGTCTGCTAAATATTAAGTTATATTAAACACGATTATAACGTTGACAATAATCACTGAAATTAGCCAGTTTTGCAATGAAATTGATTACTAAAACGACTTTTAATTGAGAGAAATACTGTTTTTTGTGTTTTTCATTGATTTAATTTCGTCGCATTAATTCATGAATTGAATAATTATTTCATCATTTTTGGTGTAAAACGAGAAGTGAGATTTATTTTTGTGACAAATAATTTGTTTGTTTAACTAATCATTGAATTTAGTGTTTGGAGACAAAGTGTGAGAAATAAGTTTCATTTCCATTCATTGCTGTTTGAATCACATATTTATCTAATTAGTAATTATTATTATTCATACTATGAATATGAATTTCATATCAATATATGAATTTCATTAAAAACCAACTTTTAATTAATTTTCTAAATTAAATTATAATTAATATCGTATTAAATTAAACATTTTAATTAATTTTCACGTTTGCATTCAAAAAAGTTTGTAAAAGACTCGCGAAGACTACACAAGACGTGAAGAATTAAGTGTTTTTTGGATTATTAAGAGCGGAAGTACTGGTGGAAAGGGATGGGAAACAGTTTGGAGAAACCAAAGACTGAAAAGCAGACCGAAGAGGGCGATGGAAATGGTCTGAAGTATGGGTTCAGTTCAATGCAGGGCTGGCGGCTCAAGATGGAGGACAGACACTGTATTCAGGTGGGGTTGGATCAGCTGAAGGAGTGGAGCTTTTTCGCCCTATTTGACGGTCACGCGGGCGCACAGGTGGCCGCCCTTTGCGCTGAGAACCTCCTGAAGACGATCACAAAGTCTGAGACCTTCCAGAAGAATGTGTCGAAACTGAGCGACGGTTTGTCCGAAGAGCGCATCAATTCCGTGGTGTCGGCCATTGAAAATGGGTTCTTAGAGTTGGACGAAGAGATGAAAAAACACCCGGACTTCGTGTCCGGTGAGGACAAGAGCGGCACGACAGCCATCTGTACGCTGATATCGCCGAGCCATCTGTTTATCGCCAATTTGGGTGACTCGCGAGCGGTGTTGTGCCGGTCGGGAGCCGTCTATTTCTCCACCGAAGACCATAAGCCCAATAATCCCCAAGAGAGACAACGGATAGTGGAAGCGGGCGGTAATGTCATGATATCCCGGGTGAACGGCTCGCTGGCCGTCTCCCGGGCGTTGGGCGACTACGAGTACAAACAGGTGGCCAACAAGAAGTTGACTGAACAGCTGGTCTCGCCCTTCCCGGAAGTGACGCCCAAACTCAAGAGCTCGAGCGACGAGTTCTTAGTGCTCGCCTGCGATGGCGTCTGGGATGTCATGACCAACGAAGACCTGTATTCATACGTCAGATACCAGTTGTCCATTGAGAAGAGTTTGGGAGCTATTTGTGCCAATATTATTGACACGTGTCTCCATAAGGGAAGTAAAGATAATATGAGTATGTTTTTGGTGACCTTTGCGGGCGCGCCCACCGTCTCCGTCGAGGCTCAGGCCCGGGATGAGCGCCTCAATCGGGACATTGTGTCGAAAGTGGAGGAATATATGAGTAAAAAGGATAATGACTATAATTTTTCTGATTTAATGGACGATTTAGTGACCGTCGAGTGGAAGGATCTGCCGCCGGGCGGAGGTCTTCAGGCGAAGCATCAGCTCATTGACGAGACATTTAAGAAATTATCCAAACATTCAAATTCAGACTCAGAAACGAGGGAAAAGTGATTTCATATGTGCGAAGACGTGTGTGTCTGTGATTATAATGATAAGGGGTGGGGGTTACCAAAGTACTAGACACACATACACACACGCACAGCACAACGCCTCCCCCTCCACATACCTGTCCATAGCTATGAACATGAGTTTTAGAGACCAGTCGTTCACACTTTATTCAATTCAAACATTTAATTATATGCCCACTGAATGGTGGGCTAATCACCGGAGTGTCGGCGCTATTCAACGTTTTGCCTTAACATAAGCGAAGAAAACATTTGTGATTTTTTTTCAAATCTAATCGTCAGAATAATGTCGGATCAGATTCTTGTGATGTCTGTTCGCCATTGTTTTAAACCTCTGGTCTTTAAGTCTTCTTAACGCATGTCTTAATGTTTGATACGTTTTGACTATAAATTACTGGCCATTGATTTATACTCTAATTTAATAAAAATGTGTCAATAAATGGAAATATATTTCTAATTACTGTAAATCTAAATCCCTGTTTAAGTGTATGTTTTTTGTTAAAGCGATTTAATTATTTTTTGTTTATTTAGTTTTCAAAATTATTTCATTCATTTGTTTGATAAATAACAGTAAAGTATTGTTTATAACATATCAAAAAGGTTTAAACTTACTTTTGTTTGTTCCCCCACCCTAATGACACTATTTAACCCCCAGTTGATTGTATTTTGCAGATATTTTTGTCAATTTTTGTTTATTTTGATTTCTTTTGGTATTGTTTCTAGTTCCTATTCTCGTAAAATTGTTTATTAATGATTTATTAATTTTTCAAATAATAGTTTTAAATTATTGATTTGNTTTGCAGATATTTTTGTCAATTTTTGTTTATTTTGATTTCTTTTGGTATTGTTTCTAGTTCCTATTCTCGTAAAATTGTTTATTAATGATTTATTAATTTTTCAAATAATAGTTTTAAATTATTGATTTGGACGAAAGTTTGCGTTTAAGTGATTTCATATTCCGTTCAAATTAATACATATTGTCAATATTAATTAATTACTTAACTATTAAATATAATAAATAATAATTTTTGAATAAAAATTTATATTATATAATAAGTTTATTGTTACTTTCTTATTATTAATAGTTAAATATAAATAATATCATTGCACAAAGCCTCTGGGAAAGTAATTATAAAAATGAAGATTATTTAGAATTATATTATATTAAATGAATACATATTTTGAAACTATTTGAAAGTGAATTAATTTATTTGAAGTAAATTGAATGTTTGACATGAAAATGAATTCTTTATGATTTAATATAAATACAAACGATGTATAAACCAGATCTTCGTCATAATTCTCGTAATTATTTATCAGTTCCCAAAGGAAAGGAAATGAAGTCATACTTGTGTTCATATCTGAAGAACTCAAGCATTTGTTTGATTATATCTAGAGATATATATTGTGATTATTGTATACTTAAAGCACTCGTTCGTTCGTTCGTTAAATTGAGTTATAAAGTACAGTACAATTGAATTATAAAATACTATAGTGCATCCAACAGTTGGCAGTGGTATCGTAAGGTATTACAGAGGCATTAATATAAGTATGCAATATTTATTAGGTGCAACAGAGGCATTATTAGTAATAATTATTGTAACTACAAATTAAACTGCTAATACTTAGCCAATATTTTATGGTATTTTTAAATGTCAATATGTTAAGTGTTACAAATTTTTTAGTTAATTAAAACTAAAAATTTGTATTTGATTTGGAATTATATTTTAGATAAATTTATAAATAAGCAGATACATAATCAATATATGGGCCAAATAAAATAAAGTATTAAATAAATAATAACAAATATAATATTTACCAGAATATCCAAATCCTTAAAATTCAAAATCATTTGAAAGTTTGTCATAAGAGACCTATCACTGACAGCACTCAACACATTAATTATTTTAAAAATATTTTTTAATAAAATAGTTATTTAATTTTAATTTAATTATTTTTGTTCATTAAACTATGCAAAATTATTTTTGATGTTTAATTTCATAACAAATACTAATAATAAACTTATGAAATAATGTATTCAACAATTGAATTGTCATTTGAAATAAAAATAAGGAAACCAAAGAAATTATTGTGTTTTAGATGTAAAAGATTATTGATTGTGTAATTTGAAGGTAAATATAATTTTTATTATAAAATTCAAGTGACAATAAAATAAGATTTTTGTAATTCATTTTTATAATAGTGAATATTCTTGAGGTAAGAAACTTTTAATTTTTGTATATGATTCTTTGTTATTTAATTAATGATTTTAAAAATATTATAGTTTTATGCTTTAGTTGCTATTATTTTCAGGGGTATATAAATTTATTTATATAAATTTATTTTTAGAGGTAATTGTTTAATGTTTTAAAATCATAATTCATATTGTTTTGCATTTAAGGTTAGGCTTATTTATTACTATGGTAATTTATCTTATAGTAAACATTTTAAAAATTCTCTTATTTTAAGCAAGTATTTTGTAAAATGTGGCATTTATAAATTTAATAATAACTTATAAAATGTAAATAAAAGCAATTGTGAAAGTTTCTATAATTTAAAACTATTTAGTTTGCTGATTTTACTTAAGTTTTAAGTATATTTTTGATTTTAATTAAATTTGATTTATAAAATCAACAAAACGTTATCGATTACTTAATATTAAATTACAAATTCATAGACAATAATTGAATTATGAAATAATATAGACTTCGGGGGTCTAGTATACCTTGATATGTCTCGAAACATATTAAATTATTATTTTATTCATAACATATTTATAATTTATAATAAATAAAACTTATATTTAAAAATCATTAGCACTTTATATTTCATGTTTATTTTAATATTTTATCACATTTTCAAACAAATTTCAATGTAAAACAAGTGTTTGAGGTTATTGTGAAACATATTTCGATAGAAATTTCCAAATTTATAATCAATTACTGGTAAAAAAGTTTTTGGTTATCTGCGATACTTCAGACTAATGATATTTTATAATCGTTTTGAAATCAATTTTAAAATAATATTTATTTAATTAATGATATATTTTATCACAGAAATCACATAATTATAGTGTAATCCGTATTTGGGATATAAGTTATTTTAAAAGTTAATTTTACATAAAAATTAAATTTTTAACTTAATGGGTTAAATACATATAATTGTTAAATTACTGAAAATCCCCGTATGAACTATAGCATAATAAACAGAATTTAATTTATTTTCAAATAATTTTTAATTTACAAATTTTGTCACTTTATTGCTTTAATGCCAACAGAATTTATATATAATAAATTATATAAACCTTTGCGCAGATTTCGTGTTTAATTAAATGCAAAAATAGTTTTAACAAAGTTTTGTTATAGTAAATATTGTGCATTTATTTACAAAATATAAAGTTTGCAGAATATTTTCGATGTTAAATAAATTTTTAATAATCAAATATATCATTCGAGTAACTATTTTAAAACTTCAAAATTATTATACTGTTCACCAAATTTATATAAATTGAAAATACTTTGTAAACAACGATCTGTTATTTAAGAATCTTTATGAAAAGTTTTTGTCAATAAATTGACACTATATTTGAGATACTATCGGAATATTTTGTTTATTATAAACAATTCATGCAGTTTATTTTAACTAGCAAAACATTTGGTCATTGATTATTATTTTTTTCGTAGACAACATACATGTATTTTATTCATGAGTAGTAAAAGTCATTAATCTGTTGTGTTTGTGTCAAACCATTTAACAACAAGTAAATAGACTTTATATTTTTATGTGCAAATAATGGTTATCATTGGTTATAATTACAAAGAAATAATAATTTGAACCACATTTGACTTTTCTCGACAACAATTATCCCACAAATAGAGGTTTGTTAAGTGTTTTTCAATATAATGCTTGCTATTGACAGTTACTTATCATAAATACTTGTGAGGTATTCATACATGTATTGAACGTCTATTTGTCGATCAGATGGTGTACTCATATGGAGGAAGTTTTCCGTCAAATATATGATGTGTTTTTTGTTGTTCAATAAATTGTGAAGTAAAGCAAAAAATTTCATATTTTTTTATTTAATTGATAAGAATAATTAATCAAATTAAATTTTTTATGTTTTTTAAAATGATCCTTGAATTTTGTAATTTTTATTTTTATTCCAAATGAATGCTCTGTTTTGTGTCTATTTTCCTATTAAAACTATTATAGAAGTTATGCTCAATTATATCCTATTATGTTTGTTGGACATCATATGAGACTAATATGTAATTATTTTTGAAAACGTTGCCTAATGCGAGACTTATACCTGTATCTAAATTTGTCTCAAAATCCGATTAGTGTTTTGACAAAATATTTTCACTTATGTCTGAAGTTTAATATTCTTTGGTTTTTTTGTGGACAGAATCAGACAATAGTGTATTAAACCCAAGCATTAGATTAAAATCGTTGCAATCGATTAGAGACTTAAATTTAAAGCACTCCATAAGCGCACCAGGAGTTTGAGAAATGATAGGATAGGGAGAAGACATATAAATTATATGATATAATGGTTGACCTGTTTATCGGTTATTCATTATAATAAGTGAATTGAAAATTATAGGTATAATATGAATATTGATATAAAGATTATGAATAAATGCATTAAAATCTACACAAATTATTTGATGAATTGCAAAAAATAATGAATTTACAAAATATATTACACACTAATTGCATGAATTACAAATTGAGGTATTTATAGCAAATGCTCTAATTCTGTGCAATTATGTTAAGAATTATGCTCGGAATTAGTACATTAAGAATTGCATTAAATGTTATTTACTAGTATTTTTTATAATATAGAGAAATGAGAAAACGCTTTTTATTTGATATCAAAAAATATGAACTGATGGCAAAAGTAATAAATTTTAATTTAAACAAACATTTGAAACATTATTCTAATGATTACGAGTATTAAACATTAAGTAAATTTCAAGTCCAAAGATAAATGGGAATAAAAAAATACAACAAAACCAGACGTTTTGATAAAGACTTTTAAGAAGGATTATAAGTGCATTCAATTCTATGTATTTCCTTATATATGGTGTTCAATACACAGGAATCTCAAGGCTGTGAAGCTGTTGAAAGTTTTTATCTCATTATATTAATTGTATTCAAGACTTCCTTCTTACTAAATATGTACGACTATACTAATTATAGTTATATAAATATATGTAAAGCAAAACTACTGTGTAATTACGCTGGAAGTTGGGTTAATGCGAGTGCGAAATGATAATTGATTATAATTTTCTGACACTTATTAAAGTAATAGTCGCTGTAATTGACTTCAATGATCACATGTCGATAACGTATTAAATAAAGATAGTTGAGAAAAAACTAATTTACGACAAAAGTACCAAAAATATAGGAAATGACATCAAAGTTACTGAAAACTGAAGCAATACTAAGAATTCAATGCAATGTGAATGCGTTCGCAAATGTATTGGAAATCTGCATAAAAAAGCGAGTCCTTACTATCGATGCCTTTGGTATTGATTGCAAAAAAGGCATTTAAAAAAATATAAACAACAAAAACTAATAATAATTAATGTCTTCTACATAAGACATTACGTTCACAGTTATTATGTGTGAAAAATATTTGTGCTTTTTTCGCTATTAATCTGATTAAATGCCAACAAAATAGTATTGATTACAAGGACTGAACCGAAAATTGAAAAGTTTTGTCGTCGAGAGTGTGTGCAGTAGAGAGAGAATCACTATTTCTCTTATTTTTATTTATACTTTTATTTTCTATATATAATAGAAAGCAAAGGGATTGGGCTCTCGAGTGAGAAAGAGAGAGATAGAGAGAGATCTCGACGTTTTTTCCTCTAATGAATCGCAAAGTGAATTGAATTTGTTTTTTGTTATTCATTTGTTTGTGAGTTTAGTTCCGTATTAGCGAAGTGTTGGTTCAAGCGCCACTTCTCTCTCATATTTTGTGGATAAAAAAGTTTTTTTAAAATAAATTATGATGAATTCGCTGTTATAATGAAGATTTGTGTTATAATTCTGACGAAAAATTGAAGACGACTTGTGATATGAAAAACTTATATTTAATTTATTTTCGGTAATTAGAGACACGAGACGAGACATTAGTCTCAATTGAAAAATGATATATTTGTTGGATATTTGATTATAAAGTCAATGAGTATCTGATATCCAATACCTTTGTTCTACTTTTGAAGAGATTTTTATTTAACGAGTGATATAATTAGTATTATTAATAACTTGTATAAGAGATTATTTAAACTATAATTGACTCTCAGCTCAAGTGTTGGAGTGTTTGTGGCTTCACTTAATTTCGATGATAACGTATACACAGTATTAATAGATAACCAAATTGTTTATTATTTACAAAACTCGGTGTAGAATAAAAGCATTGATTGATATATTTATTGAATATTAAATGAGAATAATCTTTGAGAGAGAGAGAGAGAGAGAGAGAGAGAGAGAGACTCTCATTGAAAATATAGTTCACTATTGAGACGAGTAGTGAATTTGTAGACATGTTTATAAAAAATAAACGATTTTATTGAGAATTACTTATCCAAAGTCGATCTCATATTTCAGATAATGATTTTAAAAGTGTCAAAATTCAAACACTAAATGCTCTCAATTTATATAATCCTTGACATTTGTACACAAAGTCATATGTGATTTGGTACTCAGTAATCACATAAAAAATTTTATTTCTTTTTTTAGTAGATGTTCAGTCAATTTATTGAGTGCTCATATTCTGTGAATGTAATGATTGACTTATTCTAACGCCAAATAACAAGATTCATGAATATTTATGTGGAAAGCCTTTGAATAACATTGAAAATGAATTAATATTACTGATATTTGCATATCGTATGTATAACTTCAATATTGTTCTCAACGATATAAATACAGTGCATTTATAACTTAGTTAATGATTTGATATGTGAGACTCCAGAATATATGTATGTATATTTGAATAGGTTTATGCCTCTTATAAATAGATAGTAATTAAAATGACTTTGTTTTAGGTTTTATGTTGCTTTCAAAAAATCATTGACTTTTTGCCAATTTGTATTCTCTCTCTAATCTTCAATTCGTGTGACTCTTTGACATCAATTGTCACTCTTTGAGAGTTCAGTCATAACAACAACTGCTATCTTAATGTGTTTATTCATTTAATTAAAATTTTAAATAAAAATTTGCTTGTTGAATTGTAGATTTAATAACAATAAGTGATATTCGGGTCGTAAAAATCAGCGGACAAAGGATGACGATCTCAATGAATAAGAGAGTATTGATTCTGATGTGCGGTCTCATCGAGAACTTGATATTCAGTGGGACTTTGTTTGGATGGCCGGCGCTTTTCTATATGCTCAAAAGTGAAGGCATTTACGAGCACTTGTGCCTCAATATGGAGGCCCAGCATCACATCTCCGACATGAATAATAATCTCTTTGAAAATATGACCCTTTCTCAAGACGCGATCAATGAAATCGATTCAAACGCGTCGGATATTAAAAAGTTTTCACATTTGCCAGACTTTCCAGCGCTGAATACCACGATATATAATGACATTCAAGTAAGCCTTCAAATGTTTTATTGATTATTATATTTAGTACACAAAAAGCTCTTATTTAAAACCTCAATAAATATTTTCCACTGTTTCATTCACTATTGGATATATTGTATAGACCATTAGATAAATTAATAAAAATGTAATATAATGTTTGTATAAAACATTAGTGATGTTGAATAAGTATTACATAAAGACATAAAGGAAATTTAATAACATTTATAGAGATTTCATAGGAAAAATAAAAGTTTTTGAGACAAAATACAAAAATTAGATGTTTTTTGATTCAGTGAAGCGATAAAAATCCTCTCAGACTTGTATTATAAGTGTTCGCTCTATTTATTCCTACAATTCTTTAGTCTATAGAATCTTGTATTCCTCTTCTCTTTCAATTCTCAATCTTATTCCCATTTTTTGTATTACTTTTACAAAATCCAATTAAAGTTTAATAAAACCTGTTTCCTTATTTAGAAATAAATATACTGTATTTTATATTAAGTTATTAAGTTCTAGATATATGCAAGACTACCTACAAATGCCAGTATCCAAATCATTATAATGTTATGTAGTAAGATTTAACATAGAAAAAGTGAAATATTTATTAGATAACTTAATTAAATAATTAAATTTGAATTTATAATCTTCTCTCAGATAACACAAGACTGTACAGCACAGGAGAATCTGCTGAATCTGGCCTACACTATAGGAATATTCGCGATGGGCTTCACATCATTTATCTGGGGTTTCCTTTTGGAGTCGTGGGGTCTGAGGATTGTTAGGATATTATTAAAGTACAGAATTTGAATACAAGAAAGACATACAAACTTTACATCTAAAATATATTCAATTTTTACAGTTCTTTGATAACCGGAGGCTCTATATTGCTATGTCTCACGAGTAGAGGTTTGGCATCTAATGACTTGACTATCAATTGGATTTATAGCTAAAAATTTCTTTTCTATCACTCGCAGAGAGATCTCATCTAATATTTCCGGCCATAATATTATTAGCGTTGGCCGGAGTGCCGCTGCGGATCGCAAACATGCAAATCGCGGACTACTTCCCGTCGAAGAGGTCGACAGTGATTACCTTCTTCAGCGGTGCGTTCAGTGCTTCTCCGATAGTGTTTGTAATCCTAAAGTACACGTACGACTCGGGACTCTTCGCTTTCTCGACTGTGATATTGGTTTTAGTGATTTTGAGTCTATTTATGCTTGCGTTCACCTACTCCTTACTGCCGAAGATTAGTGTCAAACACGACGAACAGATTAAGACAAACATCGAAATGAGTTCTTATAACCAATCGATGGATAAGGAAAACTTGAAACTCACGAAAGACTCGAACGGAAAAGTGTTGAATGGCTTTCACGACAAACACATAGCTAACGGCAAATCGTACGATAATAACGGAAATGGACATAAAGATGTCGAGGAGGAGGTGTTTATCAAGTCGGAAGAGACTGTGCCAGTTATGGACAACGACTTGCCGTTAGGTGTGTCGCTGTGGTCGTTGGCCTTCATTCTGCACCAGTTGTGGTTCTCATGGCTCAACACATATATGGTATTATATTCGGGTTCAATGAATCTATGGTTAGATAGGGTCACGTCGGACAACGCCATCGCCGGTGGCTTTACGGAGGCGTTCGGGTTGGTGCAGGTGAGCGCCCTTATCATAGCCCCCATCGCCGGACTCATGATGGACCGCAACATCAATCGCGCCAATAAGGACACCGACCCTTTCCGCCGCAAACTCAGTCGAACCCAATCGGGATTTGTGCCGATTCTGGTCACCACTATTGTGCTGACCATTTCGGTGGTCTGCCGATTCTTCAACACTGCCGGTGCTGTCTATAGCTCTATTGTGTTCATCACTTTGTTGAGGTCTTTCTTGGTAGCCGTCGCCTCAGCTTATCTTAGGATCAGGTATTCATTCATTGGTTTATTGATAAGAGAATTGTAATTGAATTCTGAATGCACGGAATATTCTGTAGATTCACTGCCAATCATTTTAATCGTCTCAATGGTATAATGTGTACGACTAGTGCTGTATTTTCTTTACTACAGTTCCCGCTATTCATATGGGAATCTCATTCACATATTCACGCCTTTTGGGTAATTATTATAGAATTACAGAATTTGCTGATAATATACAGAATATTCATTGTTTGTATTGAATTTTTCATTTCAGGTGAATATGTTTTGTGTGGTCTTCACAATAATCTCGTTTACAAACCCTTTATATCTGATTATAACTCCTCTTCAGAAATATCTACTGAAGAGAGAGGAAGAGCTCGAAACCAAAGTTCGGGTCAATTGTTAGTGAATTGGGAGTCGAAAGTCACGCCAGAAATGTGGGTAAAAGTTGCGGCACTTGTGTTGAGTCCAACTCTAAAACTATATGTAAATTAAATGTCTTTTAAACCAATTTATTGTATTTTATGTCGACTTTCATGTGACCATCAAATGAGTCTTTCAGACAATTCAATTGCATTTAATCAATGGTTTTAACGATTCTTTAAAACATGACTATTATTTAATTTAATAAACAATTTATTTTCCAAATATTACTTAACCATATAATAAATTTACAAAACTATATGAATATATTAAATACACGTAACATATCTTATATTATCTATAATTAAATGGCTTTAAGTTTGAGTTGAAATCACAGCAACAGGTCCTCCAGAAAGTAGACAATCATTTGGTGGTTGTCTTCAGCGGTCATTCAGAGCTGGACGAGTCGGCCGCAGATTTCGACTTCTTTTTGCTCGTCTTTTCTGTGGCCTTCTTCTTGTCCACCACTGACTTCCAGCGCCCTATGGAAGTGGTATCCAAACTGTCCTCCAGAAGCATGAGTTGCTCCCTGAGGTTGAGCTCATCCTTCGCCAAAGATATGAGTTTTGCATTGATTTCATTCAGTTGTCCCTGAATTTGGTTCACTTTTGATGGCATTGCGGTGTTGTTGTGGTTGTGGTCAATGAGTGGACACTAATTGATACCTAAGTCCGGCTGAAATGAATCGATGAAATGCTTGCGAAGTGACAGGAAGTCAATGAATGAATGAATAGTTTTGAGTGAATAGACTGTAAAAAGTGTCGACACGTGAGAGTAAAAAATGTGTTTCACTCGTGACTTGTTATCAGACAATAGGCGCGCATTGGAGTCCATCCGTCAGTCTATTCAGTAAAGCCTATAGTTTTGTGTGACTTTGAGTGCAGTGACTGTCTATACGTCTGTCCCACTCGTGTCCTAACCCTTAGGACTCAACACTCATTCAAACGATTCATTGGTTTTTTGTCTCGGATTAAGCGTTCATTTTGAAGACACATCTGATCCGCAGAAATGAGCGCAGAGTTTGATGCCAACAGCGGCGGCGGTGGTGGTGTCCAGTGGTGCGACACCGGCGCCGGTAGTGTCCACTCGACGGGCAGCGCTTCCAATGGGAGGCAGTGGTCACAGAGTGGTCGGCCGTCGACCGGCCGGTGCTATAATTGCGGCAAATTTGGTCACAAGAAGTCCGATTGTCGTCAACCAGACTTTCATCAGTCGGCGTACGGCTATCGCGGACGCGGAGGAGGCGTTGCCTACAAGAAAGCCAAAGAGCAGTACCGCCGGAGCTATGGGTCCAACAAACGCGCCCTCAATAAGCCATCGGTGGTCATGACGTCAGAGCCGGTTCAGCAGCACTTCCCGGGACTCGAAGACTTCTATCTGAACCGCCGATTGAGTGATATATCGTTGGCTGTGAGCGGAGAGACACTGTTTGCCCACAAGTTTGTCATTTGTGTGAAGAGTGAGGTCTTCAAAGAAATGCTCTTCAATTCGGCCGATAGTGAGAGCAGACCATCGCTGACACAACCGCTGCCACTGTTGGACACGAATGTCGATGCCTTCAAATTGTTGCTGAAGTTTCTGTACACCGAAGTGTTGCCCGAAGAGGTGACCACTGACTGTCCGATGGCTATGGAAGTGCTGAAAGTGGCGCTCCGTTTCAAAGTCCAGCGATTGTCGGACTTCATCGAGAATAAGATCACAGAGGACTCGGCGAACGTGAAGCCATTGGCCGAGTGTCTGCTGGAAATGATCGGAAGAATGGGTGAGTATCTGCTCGACGACAAGACATCGGCCGACAACCTGTCGAACAGATTGAACGAAAGCCCGGTCTCGCAGACGGCGCTCATCGATGGCCTGAAAGTGATCGTCGAAACGAATCCCAAGATGAAGGACAACGAGTTCAAGAAAATGATTGATTTGAATAAGTGTTGCCTCGAAGACATCGTTATCCTCAAGAATATCGGTCTGTTTGATGCCATAGAGTTTGCGGACATTCTGAAGCAAAAGTGAAGCCAAAGATATCTGTAATCGCTTTAATTGATTAGAAAATTGTTTTTCAATGCGTTTAATGATTAATATTTGTTTGCTTATGAATTATACGTAAATCTAATTATTTTTAATATCGTAATCGTTTTTATGACTAAAAATTATTAATTAAAATTATTATTATTACTAAATTAATACTGTATTCACTGTTAAAGCAATACTGAAGTGATATGTAGACTAATTCTAGTAACCATTCATTGAATGGTAAAAATATTTTCATAAACATTTGTCAATCAAAATGAACCAAACATTGCATTTAAAATAAGTTTTATTAAATAAATTATTTGAAAAAAGCATACAATTTGTATTGAATTTGTCTTACGTTAAGAAAATCATATAATTCTCNTGTTTCGGGTTTTACGCCTCCATTTGGAACCAATTGCTGAACACTGTATGTCTTGGGATGTGTTGAGAGAGTCTTAGAGAGACTACCATTAAATGTATCACTAATTATCACCCATTCTTCAGGCGATCCTCTGGACAGAAGCCATACCACTGTTGTGGCGCTATTCGGGACGACTGATCGGTCGCGTGGGCTATACTGCCGGCGACCACGAGATCCTACAGACGTTGGCGTTCATGTTGATCGGTTCCCTTATCTCCACAGTCATAGACCTCCCGTGGAGTCTATACAACACATTCGTCGTCGAAGAGCGCCACGGATTCAACAAACAGACGCTCGGCTTCTACGCCAAGGTATGTGTCGATAGATAGTCGCCAACCACTCGATACCCGCAGCGCTTGTAATACATGTGAGAACTGATCCCACGATTAGGACAAAGCGAAGAAGTTTGTGATAATGCAGGCGATTATCTCACCGATACTGTCCGCCCCCATTTGGATCGTTAAGGCCGGCGGCGACTATTTCTTCATCTACTTGTAGGCCTTCTGTTTCGTGGTAACACTGCTGCTGATGACGGTCTACGCCGACTATATCGCGCCCCTCTTCGACAAGTTCACGCCATTACCGGACGGCGAGCTTAAGGCGCAGATCGAGAGGTTGGCCCAAAGCATAGACTTCCCGCTCAAGAAGCTGTTTGTCGTCGAGGGCTCCAAACGGTCGTCCCATTCAAACGCCTACTTCTATGGGTTCCACAAAAACAAACGCATCGTTCTCTTCGATACACTCATTGAGGACTTCCATAAGAAAGAGGAGGAAAAGAGCGGTAATTATTAGCGTAGAAATTGTTGTCGCCATTCATTTTGTCGTCCATTTTAATGACATTTCTTTGAAAATATTACCGCTTTTTTAGACGAGAGTGAAGTGCAGTCGAGCGGCGATTCGGCGAAGAAGGAGCACAAGAAGGTCGGCTGTAATAACGACGAGATACTGGCGGTGTTGGCGCACGAGTTGGGCCACTGGAAGCTCAACCACATCCTCAAGAACCTGGTCATCGCTCAGACGAATCTATTCCTGTGTTTTATGGTCTTCGCGCTCTTATACCAGAACCAAGTCCTGTACGACGCGTTCGGCTTTCATAAGACGCGACCCGTTTTCATCGGAATATTCATTATATTTCAGTACATATTCTCGCCTTACAATGAGGTATGCGTTCACTGCCACCAATGCACCCATCAATTGATGTCCAATTCATTTGTCTCTCAACCCAACAGATCCTATCATTCCTGATGACATGTTTGGGCCGTCGGTTTGAGTTCGCGGCCGACGCTTTCGCCAAACACCTCAACCGTACGGCTGACCTGCGCTCGGCTCTCATTAAACTCAATAAAGACAACCTGGGGTTCCCTCTGTACGACTGGCTGTACTCCAGTTGGTATCACTCGCACCCGCCTCTACTCGAGCGCATCCGAGCCCTCGGAAAGATTGACTGATTTCTCACGAAATTAATGTTTTTTTTAATTTAAGTTTTATTTACACGAGAATTATATGATTTTCTTAACGTAAGACAAATTCAATATAAATTGTATGCTTTTTTCAAATAATTTATTTAATAAAACTTATTTTAAATGCAATGTTTGGTTCATTTTGATTGACAAATGTTTATGAAAATATTTTTACCATTCAATAAATGGTTACTAAAATTAGTCTAAATATCACATCAGTATTGCTTTGACAGTGAATACAGTATTAATTAGTAGTAATAATAATAATTTTTAGTCATAAAAACGATTACGATATACGTATAACTCATAAGCAAACAAATATTAATCAATGAATTCATATATTAAACACTAAACACATTGAAAAACAATTTCCTAATCAATTATAGCGATTACGATACCTTTGAGATACACACTAAACATTACAGTCAGACAGACTTATCCTCACTTTTGTTACTTCCAGTGGTGTCCGCACCGGAAGAGCTCTCCGCCCTCAACATCCCTTCGATGGGAACCGTTCGGAGGCTATCGTCGGACGCGTCCATCGGTGACCCAATATTGAGGTCTTCTTCATTCGAGCCGTCCGTTCGACTGACTGTCGGTCTACTGTTGCCGGGGGACGAAGAGTCCAATGACACCATCGGAGACGGAGTACGCGGTGGAGGTGTCGGCACCAACTCGACGGGCCCTAAGAGGATGGGGTCAACAGCGATAGCGGCCATCGCCTGTCTGAGCGCCACTATAGCCCCGCCCGACCCCCAACTGCTCTCGTCATTAATGGTTCGGTATATACTATATTCACCGAAATAGCGGACAATATGTGTCCGCAAACCCTCAGCGCTTATGGCTCTCGGACTGGGATTATAATTGGCTTCAGAATCGCCCATCTCTTGGGCCAACTGTTCCGAGGCTTCGATGGCATGGCTCACAGTCCTAACAAAACACGTTGTTATTAGGGTTGTCTATGATTTGACCTACGTTGATTTGACCTACAATACCTAAAATATTAAAATATAAATGGTTCCGACCATCGAATCATTGCATGTGATATATGGTTGGAATCAGCTCAATGAGTAGGTTAAGAAATTCACTTCTTAATCTGGATCAGCTAATAT